TATACTGACCAGCTTGAGGGGGAGTGTTAGTGTAGAGGTATTTCTATCTTTATACTTATGTTGAGGTTGCTGGTTTGTAATATTATATTAGAACTAGTGTCCCTCACTTAAATAAGGGCACATGTGTCTTTTCCATTATATTAATAATATAAAACATGTCTGGCCGAATGGGAAATGTATCTTTTCCCTAATTCGAACCAGACTTTTCTTTCTCTCTCTCTTTCTTCCTTCTTTCTTCTTCTTTTCTTCTTGGCTGCTATCAGAATAACAGAACTCAAAGGCAGGCCGAATCATAATACAAATAACAAATGCTGTAGTTTGGTTATCCACTTGACAGTTCAGTCAATCTTCTTTCAGCCAGTCTTTGATTGAATTAAAATAAAGGTCCATAATAGACTCAACAATGTGTCACCACACACATAGACTCAATTCGGCTTTGGTTCTTTTTGGATTTTCCTGTGCAGCAGCAATATAGTGAGTTCTAATATGAGTTTCTGTGTAGACTTTTAGAAGTTCAGTTAGGTATTTGTTTTAAACAGTGTTGAAAGACTCAGACAGGACTGAACAGTCGGACCATAAAACCTGGGCTGAGTCAAACCCAGATAACTGTTGAAAAACAGATGGGTTTCAATGACCCAGCTGATTTTCACAACCTGCTCAGGCCACTAAATCACTAGAAACTTTAAAATGAAAATAGAAAGATTTGAACTCATGGCTTCTTGGTTATGCATGTTAACTTATTACCATTAATAATATCTTGTTATTTATGCCTATTTATGTCTCTTTAATATATAGTCATTAAATGCACATATATCTTGAATAAAATGTAAGTTGCAAGACTTGAACCCTGGTTGCTTGCATCAAAAATCAAGAAACTAACCATCTAGTCACAGTTTTTGCATGTGTTTTAAAATGAAAAAATATATTATATGTTATTTATGACTCACGGTCAAACCATTTGACCTGTGACCCAGCAAGCATTCAGGTTTTGTGTCTAGTTCGAGTCTTACAACACTGGTTCTAAAGCTAAGATTTTAGTGGAATCATAAATGCATATCAATTGATATGACTATGATAGTAAGTCCTCATCTGACCTTTTTCAAGATTTTTTTAATGGATAACATGAATTTCATTAATTGGTGGAATTAGAAACAATGATTTAGTTATATATAATACATGACCTTTTCATGTCTTTTAATATAAAGCCTATATTAGGCACACAAAATTGGCATAAGACCAGCTTCAAATGTACCACACAATTTGAAGCATGAGTTTTAGCAGGTTTGCCAAAACACAGAAAAAATTCAATAATGTGAAGACTTTTTTCTACACCAATGTTGTGTGTGTGTGTGTGTTTTGTAGTTTTGGTCTTTGTTTCTTTCTAATGACATTTCAAGACTGACTAACCAATGTAAAACTTAAGCACAGAAAAGAAAGGCTAATTCATCAGTTTTTACCACACAAGCACATGTAGGTTTATATTTTCTGAGGTTCTTCTTGCCTTCCTGCCTTTAACTTTTATTCCTTTTTTCATTTGATTGTCATTTTTTTTCTTATTACAACACCCTCATTGATGTTGTCATAATTTTACTCTTGATAAACAAATGCACATGCATAATATGTACACACCACATATGTATCTTTGCATCTTAGATCCTAGATAGGTGGTCAGATTCTAAGGCTTTCCTCAGGCAGCCTCTCAAGCATGTCTTTCAAATTCACTGATTGTTTGCATAACAGCTGAACTGCTAGCAGCCTAGGAACAAGAATAACAAGAACTTGGTGCTCCAGGACTTGTTACATCATTCACAATCATAATTGACATAACGTCGCAATTTCCTTGGTTATGTACATGAAATTTCTCCTACCATGCTTTTAGGATACAAACAATTATAGTTAAGGGTCCGTTCGGTTCACAGTCGGAATTGGAATCGGAATGGTCTATTCCCATAGTCTGTTTAGTTCAGATAGGAACTGGAATCAGAATTGGAATAAGCTGGAATGGGATTTCATTCCCAAGGGAGGGGAAGGGAATGACCATTCCCTTAAATGGGGCAATGCCATTCCAGCGGAAATGGGAATGGGATTCCAATTCCACCCAACCAAACAGTTGGATCAGAATGACCCATTCCAATTCCGATTCCAGATCCCTAGTCCCATGAACCAAACGGACCCTAAAAACCTATCACCTTTACCTTGCTATAATCCATGCCACCATAGATGTCTCCAACAAGCATGTCTATTTTCCTATTATCTCCACGTTGACTCAACTCCAGCAACTCATCAAAACTGGAATTAGATATGGATGTTAGTTAACATGGATAAAAAAATTAAAAAAAAAAAAGAGCTAGGATATACTATAAATAGAAGAAAGCCAGGAGGACCTTTTGCACTTTGTTAAAAGCCTTCCCAGGCCCCAATAAGTACCACCACCAACATTGGTCCCACTAACCCGCTGAAACTTCCCTTCACCATCTACCTATACCACCAGAAGAAAACATGAGATCCTCAAGAACTCCTTGAACAGTAAGTTTTAGGTCACTGAATACCAAAAGTAAACTAGGCAGGAAATAAGATGACCATAACCTTGATCATGCTAACACCAGATCCAATGTTAACAAGGAGATAAGGGAACAAATCATTATGGTCAATCTGGACAAATTCTTTATGACCCTCCATGTGTGTGAAAGCTTCATGACGAATTGCCTACACAAAGTAAGCTTAATGAAGAACAACCATAAGCCAACTATAAGCAGAAGGAGATTCTTAATTAAAAACAACCATAAGCCAAAGGATAGAAGAACACCTTAAGCAAAAAATTTGCTCCAGCTACCAGACAATCCATTTCATCTTCCTTATCGATGCTAACTCCAAGTCTCTCTTTGAAGAGGTCTGCAAATTTGTATGCGCCACCACCTGTGGCCTTCACAGAAATGTTAACTAATAAATTTACCAACATCCATTAAGAAAAGAAATAAACAAACATTAAGAACAATTAGAAACTCCAAGGCGTCCAAGCAGACAGAAGACCAGTTCTTTGATTGTAGTTCACAATTTTCTTATGCCGATATTATTCCAAACTATGCAAATATTTACAGAGAGAAAAAGACCATATTGATGACTGGAAAAGTTAATGACTATATGAAGCTACCATAGTTTTCAAGTCACCAAGGCAAAGCTAGGCAACAGGGCACTTTGTCACCTAGTTGCCTAGGCTGGTGCCTAGGACCTATTTGATAAGTTTTTTGAAAATAAAAAGTATAAATCCTAGGGAAGTTCCATAGATGTCATAGTAATAAGCAAGTATCTTTAACTAATAATTACCATAATCCACATGAAATAAGCATAAAGTATAAACCCCGTATCAAAACATTGAAAATCAGCATATTTGTGAGAAGAAAAAAGAAGAAAAGAAAACATAGAAAATATTGGGGCTGAGCCCTTGTTTTGGTCCTAGAAAGAGGATGACAACGTATACGTCGATTGAACCCAAACAAATAAGAAAATAATAAAAAAGAAATAGTATAATAATAATAATAGTGATAATAATAATAATAATAAAAAACCCGCAAGATGAATAATTTAGTGTAATGATCTGTTATAATGCTATTAATAACATAAAATAAAAGAATATAAAAATATTATGTAGTGTCTAGAAGCTCTAAAGGAATCCTTTTCTCATTTCTCTTATTTATGTTACTTCATGACCATTTCCTTCATCCTATTTTTTGTGCGTGTGCATGTAGGGGGGACAATATCCATCTTGGTGGTGGCTATAAATAAAAAAAAAAAAAACATCAGTTAATAGTTGGTCCATTTCAGTAATTATCTTTCCATGAATCTCCATCAAATCTTGCATTCTTCATGGTTGATGCAATAGGTTGCTTTTCTATTAGGAGACCAAGGTTTGAAAAGGCCTTTTCCTATAACAGTTTTCATTATCAATCCATAAGGTATAGATCATTGAAATCTGCTAGCATCTTAAGACCTCTTAATGGAACTAAAACAGCTTAAGTTAAGTATACTAACCAGAACAGATCTCTCCATTATTGTCACCAAAAAAAAAAAAAAGAAGTTAATACAAATTTTAGTTTTGATGAAGGGTAGCTAAGCTAGCAAACCTATGAAGCAGATTCTTTTATTGCTTAATGATGAGAAACATGTCCTTAGGTGATGCAGGGGAGAGCCTTATAATGTCTTTAGGAGTATGATTTTTTTTTTTTTCAGCAAAGCATGAATATGCAACAGAGGAATAGGTTGAGAAATCTAGCAGAGCAGTTCTAGGTTAAATAGTTGACAACTCAACAAACACTAATGACTTGTGCAATCCCATCCCGACTTCCGTCTTTTATGTTGATCAATTTGTTAGGATTCCAAAAGATCCTTTATAAGGCCTAAGTTCCTTCTTTGGTGTAGCTCAGGTAAATATTTAACAAACTGCTTGAAAATAAGAATCTAGTAATTGCCAAAAGTAATCTACGGTACAAGGTTTACCTTAATTATTGCATCTTCATTGGCTGTGGCCCCAGAATGCCAACATTGTGAATCAGTCCCTGTCAATAAGAAACTTACCACAATTAACCATGTGTTAAAAATGTTTTAAGTATTTCTTTGAAACTTGCGTAGTAAAAAGGCTTAATTATTTCTTGGAAACTTTAAAACAAAATTCCAAATAATTGTACGTTAGACACTTCAGCAACAAATATCAACTAAAGAGCTAATATATTTTACTATGTTTCACAATTTAAAAAAAAAAAGGAAAAAAGAAACATAGTCAAAAAATAAAAGGAAAATAGTAATGCATACCACCACGGTGAAGCTGCTTGGAAGAAATAAAATCTAAGCACTCATTAATCTTGCTTGTCTCGAACTTCACAAAATGGAGCCTCCCACCTAGAATGGGATAACTTCTCCTATTACCATTAGAAACCCCCAGTCTCTCTTTTAGAGATCTCTTCCTCTTATCATCAACTGAGCGATCCTCGTGTCTTGAGAAATATACCAACTTAATCAGTGATCCTGCCAGCAAGAAAATGGAATTACTGGAGTATCAAGATAAAACATCTATTTTGTCAAACCAGAAGCAATCAATTCTGAGAAGAAACCAAAGCTGAAAAATGAGAAATAACTAATAAGAAAACTGTCATTTTAGTTCATCGTCCAAAAATCATGGTTCTCAACCAATTTAAGCATATATAGAAGTTTTATAATTTCAAATTTTCAAGCTCTAAAGCAGAACTAGAACTAACCCTGAAATTTCATCACAATGAACCCAAAGATATAACTTCAAAATCAGATACAGATGTAATGGGTGGCAGAATAGGTAAAGCCACATAGGAATTGGTTCCTCAAACTATACCAGAAGCTAGTCAGCTACATAGAAAAATAATAAATTGCATAGTTGCAGAGGAAACATGGAGAACAATCTAAGCCACTTTCACTTCGAAAAGAATCCTAAATTGACGAGCAACATAATAAAATACACCAAAAATTATATACCAAAAGAATAAAAATTAAGAAACTTGATGGTAAAACTGATCTAAATAATCAAGGAAAAGAAAAACGGCCACCAATCAGAAAACATTAAGCTAAAGAAAGGACATAGAAAATGGCACAAAAAATGAAACATGGTGTTAGCAAAACAGGGAGAGGGGAAAACCAGACCCGCCCAAGAATCACAAAAATTCAACAGTAACAGAACATAAAGTTACTAGATTCGGATACGCATTTCCAGGAAAATAATGACAGAAAAGGAAGACATAACCACGCCAGATCCACCGAGAAGCAAAAGAGTAAGAAAATGAACTAACAGTGACGAGAAGGAATATTCTCAAAAAAGAAAAAAAAAAGGAAGAATATTGACATTCACCTCCAATGTCCAGAGATAAATGAGAGATATCATCAGACTGGTTAGGCAACAGAATTGTTGGATCTCTCTCCTCAAAATTCCCCTGAATAGCTGCGCCGCTGAGGTCGAGCTGAGGCCGCGAGCTCGATCGATGAATTGGGTTGGCAGCCGGCGGCGCCATTTCTCTTCCGCCTTGTTTCTCCTCCTCGTCTTCCTTGTTCTTATCGTTATTCTCCTCAGTCGCCGCCTTTATATAGTGGTTTTCAAGAACTGGGCGTTCAGTTGGACCAGCCATTAATCCAAACTTCCCTCCACCTGCTGCCTAACCCCAACTGTTTGTGCAAGCGTATTTGGTGGGGTTGTCCTTTACTCATGAGCAAAAAAGACCAACGGATACAGAATAATTAAAAACGAATAGGAAAATGTAGAAATAATAAAAAATACTTTTTTTCAGATTCAAATCAAAGCAAGAACAGAAACCCGACAGTATTGATGAGTAAAAATCAATACCCAAGTGGTTGAATCAACCAGTCAACCCAAGGCAAAAATCAAAGCAGCTTCTTTGCATTTATCGCCTGCCTGCTGTTAGCTTCGAAGAAACCTGAAGCAAGATAACGAAATAAAGGTGAAGGAATTCACATCTTTTTTCCTTTTATTGTTTATACTTTATTGAGGACAAGTGTCAACCCACATGAAAATGATGGCTAAAGGTGAAGGAATGGGCGAACAATTTGAAACCCTCAAGTTATTATACTTTGAAGTTAAGAAACTAGCCGACATAATCACGTAATAAACAATAGAAAAACCCAACCCAGATGAGTAAATACTAAATACCACCGAAAATAGATAGAGCCCCCCTAAAAACACGTAGAAATCTATGTAAGTTGTAACCACCCCAACCGTCATTTTCGTGAGGTTTCACACTTCCACTTCTCTTGGCCCTTCATCAGCAGTGATGGCTGGTTAGTGATCACAGCCCAGACATTAGAAGCCTGAATGGGAAGTTCAGGAAGTTATTAGTTAACAATGAAGAAGACGAAGAACATGAATATATCTTGAAAGTGAGTTCGGATTGGCTCCTCACACCCAACGAGCCCCTTGCAATTGGAAGTTCAGAAGTACGATGGAGATGTTCCCGATGCAAGGCTGTTAAGGCTGTTCGAACGGGCCTTGCACTGGRAATATCACCCCATGAAGTAAACTACATAGGTGATAGGTACTTAGATATTCCCAGTAAGGYTGTAAAGGTTGTTCGAACATGCACCGACTGAAGCCGATCTCAGCTATATGTTGATTTGTGTTCACTCACACCGGATCTGCTCTTCACACCTGGCGCCTCACAGGTGCCTCACACGCACATTCTACATGCATYGGAAACATCTCCAATACTATTAGTTATTATTCACGGAGATATGTCCAATGCATGGTGGATGTGCCTGTGAGCGCCCATTTGTGAAGAGCATATCTGAGCTGACCACATGGCAGATTTGAAAATCGGACTCCAAATATTTGAATTCGGATATGCTCACACACTTCATACCATCCTCACAAATACATCACTGTCGTGTGCCGAGAATCTTCTCACTAATGATAACATTATGTCCGGGAGATATTCTCAATCCATGCCTATGATGCACTATGAAGTTGACGTGAGGAGCATATCCGACCTCCAAATATCCATACCCGTGTGTTTTGGTTTTCGGGAGAAGCCATCCTTCTTTTAGCCATGTCCACTAGCAACCTAGAYGTATATCTCAACATGCATTGGAAATGTCTCTTGTATATATCATTAGGAGATGTTTTCAATACACAGTTGGGATGTGTTGTAGACATCTCCCGTACATGTTATTACTATGCAAATACATACAAAATATAAGGTTTTGCATTCTATATATTAGCATTTGTAATCCTTCCAAACGGAGCTTGGTTAATACACAGTTGGGATATGTTGTGGGGGTGTCAATGTGAACTTGTATTGGTATGGCTTTTTTAAAATGCTTTTCGGAACTCAAATTGCTTTTCATCTCGGTCAATGTGTCATTGCCATTTTTCGGTCAATTTGTGATATCATTAATGGAAAACATTCAAAATAATACAAAAATCTGGTTAACACATTGAACAGGTCAGATGGGTCAATATGGTTTTTCACTTTTTCCTCTCTTTAACTTAGCATTTAGGCTATGTTTGGTTTGAGGGAAAGGAAGGGAAAGGTAGATAAACCTTTACAACCCGTGTTGAAGAATCAATTTTTGGTTAAGTATCGATTTTTTGGCTAAGTACYTCTACATTTGGACTGCTTCCAAGTGGCCGATGACTCAGGTCGAAGTGAACTTTGGCTGCCGAGTTGAGTCGAGCTGGGCAAGCTAGGTGGCGAGCTGACTATAGTGTCGAGCTGCCTATGAGGTGTCGAGCTGACTAGGTGGCGAGTTACCTGTGAAGTGCCGGGCTGACCAGGTGCCGAGCTGCCTATGAGGTGTTGGGCTGATCAGGTGTCGAGCTGCCTGTGAGGTGCCGGGTTGACCAGGTGTCGAGCTGCCTGTGAGGTGTTGGGCAGACCAGGTGCCAAGCTACCTGTGAGGTACCGAGCTGCCTGTGAGGTGCTGGTTGACCAGGTGCCGAGCTGCCTATGAGGTATTGGGCTGACCAGGTGTCGAGCTGCCTGTGAGGTGCCGGGTTGACCAGGTGCCGAGCTACCTGTGAGGTGCTGGGCTGACCAGGTGCCAAGCTGCCTGTGAGGTGCCGAGCTGCTTGTGAGGTGCTGGTTGACCAGGTGCCGAGCTGCCTGGTGGCGAGCTGAATTGATGAGCTTTGCTGCTCTTWAGAGACCTGCAAGGAACCAAATGTCAGAGGACCCGGGGTGGCTAACCGGGCGAGGTCGCTCCGATGCTTAAGTCAGTACTCTCATAGTAGACTGCGAGCTAAAAATCACAAAGTTTGAGAGCTAGAACTTGCTTACTTGCTTGCTTGCCTCTTGCCATTGGGGTTGGTGCCTTTATATAGGCATTGTTTGGCGTGGGCTTCACGCACCATATCCGAGATTTCTGCGAGATCGTCTAAGTGGTCGAGATTCCTGGAGGTAACTGCCATGCACGTTGACCACCTTCCAGATCGTTCGGCACGTGGGCCAACTTCCAAGGATCGTGGGAGTGTTTGAATATGCATGTCGAATTTGTCGACGAGCACGTCTTGCAAGTCGCCGGGTCGGCACATGTGCCAGGTCGCCAGGTCGGTGCCTGTGCCAAGCCGCCAGGTGGGACACCATCAACTTGGCTAAGGCAAGTTGTTGCCAAAGTGGTTCCGAGTGTCACCTAATTGTTCCGAGGTGCCATGTGTCACAATATCATTGGAGGGCCAAATCTGCCCTCATCATTTGTATTAATTCCCCTTTCTTTCCCTTCCTTTCCCTATCTTTTCCTTCAAACCAAACATAGCCTTAGAGACTAATCTAAAGTGGGTGACCCGTTCACCAACTCAACCATATGGGTCAACAAAAAGGTAAACACATCTATGAGTGTTTTTTTTACTAGATAATGAATTAGGATGGATTAGTGTTAGATCCACTTATAAGTAGATAAAACTATGGTTTTTAAAATTGGACTGGAAAAACTAGGAATCGATTAAGTGACCGGTTTCGATTTTTCCTAAAACTGTTGATTTTAGTTAGCAAACCGTTGACTTGGGCGATTAATCATTCGAATGGTTTTAATCGTTTTTATTTATTTTTATTTTTTTGTCAAAATAGGCTGACCATTTAGTTCAAATGGTCAGACCGTTTGACTCAGTAACCAAACCCCTGACCGATTTGGTCTCTGGGTCATTTTTAAAAAACCATGGATAATACTAGACTACTTTAATCAAATCGAATTTGAATAAATATAAACCCATTTTGCAGCCCTGGTATAGACATGATAAATTGATACCTACAAAGTTAATAAACTGTGACATTAATTTTCTTTTTCTTTGTAAAAAGAACTGATTTCACATCTGACTCCTGCCCAAAGGACAATGATGCGGCAATTCAAGGGTGGGGATACAGCAAGGTGACGGTGAGGCCCACTAGAAGTACCACCTGTTTAATCCTTCGCCTTACTTAGTAATCTTTTAAATTAAGGGGTTTTTATAGTTCATTCCACCCCTAAGGATTTTTAGGGATGGAGATGCAGTTTATTAGGGGGGGGGCTACTAGTAGACTAAGAGATGACTGCAATTTCAGAGATGGATTGCAATACACTTATATTAACAGTATAACATCACGTACACTAATTATGCTATTGTATTACAAAGATAATAATAGCAGGACTCGAAACCGCACTACGGCTGGGACAATTCATCCAGTGCACCAATTATGCTATTTCTCAATTGGCCTCGCCTCATTTTTTTAGAGTGACACCAATGACTATCATTAACTATTGTGTCATTGGCTTGGACAACGTGTCACTCTTTAACGCTCTTCCAACTCYCAAAATAAATAAAAAATATTTATTTTTTTCTTTAGAGAATATATAGTAAATCCAAACCTTTTTGGTCCATTTTCYCCAATACCCTACTTTTTCTACTCTCTATCTCATTTAACTTAGCCCCCCCAAAAGAAAATTCCTAGACCACTCGAGCCACCATTGATTGGTGTTTTTTTGTTTTTTATTAAACATGCAAATATGYRATATTACATAATTGATTATTCAATATTTTTAAGATCAAGGAAAATATCAAATAATAATAATAATAACAACAATAACAACAACAACAAAGTCAAAAATTCAAGAAATCAGCATTGGGCTTTGCAAGTTCCTTTTAACTTCTGACTATTACTAAAGACCCAAACCCTAAGTTGGGTGATGACTGGTAAACGACAAAGGCCATATTGGGGATGTTTGGATAAAAACTGATGTTGTAACCAATTCGATCAATTATTATATAAAGCATATGTTGGAGAAAGCATGATACCAAAAAAACTTATAAGTTATAACCAATTCGATCACTGATATAGCATTAGTGTAAATGCATGGGAGTGCAAATAAGCTGAACGCAAATTCTGATTATTTACTTTCGCAAAAGTAAAATGTTGTGGATCCACCTTATATATAAGAGAAAAGAGGTAAGAGGGTTACTTGTTTGGTAATAAAGTAGGAAGCAAGAGGATGTGGTCACCACCTTATATGAGAGAGAACTGATAGGAGGAGGGTAGTATAAATATTGTATCAATTTTTTATATACAAAATTTGCAATACTAATATATGCAAATGAGACAAAAAAAAGTACAAATTTTATATGAGATTGAAGTGCAAATCATAATTACAAACCAATAATGCAAAACTATACTGAATGCAAATTTTGTCTAACTCTTATTTGCACTACGACCAAACATAAGTACATAACTTTAATTTCAATACAAATTATCTTCGTTTAAAGTAGAAACAAGAAAATCAATACGGCTAGACCATAAAACACTTGAGTTACCCCATGTACAGGTTTATTGTGAGTAGATATCTTCCCTCTGTCCCAGGCATGTAAAAAATTATATAAAAGCACCTTGGGGAAATTAGATTTTGCCACATGCAGAGAAAGAAAAAAATTGGGGAATGAGAAAAGAGAAAAAATATAATAGATATAGTTTTGGCATAATGGTCTTGACGTGCGGCCAAGGTAAGTATGGGCATTATGTAGCAAAGATGTCATTTATGTGGCGACCAAACTTCTCGTTTAAAGCCCTGTGCACGAAAATGAATGGATTTCAAAAGAATTAAAGGCTAATCACCTGTCTAGCCATTTGACATTGGATATATGGTTAGAAACGCATGTATCATGTATGACCATATAATTTACATGTGTCAATGATCATGATCATGTGCATACGGAGGTATATAGAAGATTGTTAACATTCATGTAGTAAAGCAAAGATTTAAACATCCCATGCACATATAAAATTTCATGCAGACACAGACAAATATAATATTCATTTCATAGGATTTACCATCTATTTACTTTAAGGATTCATTATTGTTTGGGT